AAATATATTGGAGAGGGATTTAACTTATTAGAGAGATATTTTAGGAAATTTTTTAATGTAATAAATATTTGTTTCCAATTTTCTTGTGATTTAATTACAAAATTTACTTTTAAATTTTGTTATTTATTCAAATGGCAAGGGTTTGACTATGCAAATATTACAAAATAAAAGGTTATAACTCAAAATAGATTTTAGTACAAAATGTAATTCAAAAATGTTAAGATAGATATATATATATATATAGTTAAAAATTGAAAAAATACATTAAAACGGCGTTTACAAAAGTTTAGGCGACCAAACCAATCGTCTAAACGTCATTAGAGCGTCTAGCGTCTTAAGAAAGCTTAGGTAAACGTCTAAAACATTTTTTAGAACATTGGTTACAATTTAGAGGCCAACATGAATGTTGCACATACTTAACCTCAGAGAGATTCGTCCTTCTAGATACTACATTTTAGCCCAAAGAAGAATCTAGAACTATCTTTTTCCCTGTTCACAGTTGTTACAATTTCACAATTGTAATTGAGAATGACCACATACTAACTTATTAGTTCCAAACATGACAATCATAAATAGAGTTTTAAAGTCAAATGAGACACCAACGTAACTACCTGCCATGAAGATACTTATAATGTTTATAAACCAGGTTTACAAATTTAATAGTTGCACGGCTTCGTGTTGGATAAAACAAGGACACTCAAAAGTATAAACAAAATTAAAAACGTGAATGTCTCAAAAGATCACGATCCAATGTCCCTGTCGGGAATTTTTTTTTTTTTTTTTTTTCTCTTGTGCCGATTTATCTATCTTTCTTTCTTGTTGGATTTAATTTTACATTTTTTCAACAAGAGAACTAATATTCTTATATTATATTAAATATTCCTTCTATTTGAGGAAAAAAAGAGAACTAATATTCTTGTGCATTTATCTCACTTTCTTCTTAATGATGAGTAGAATTTTTCATATAATTTATTTTTCGTTTGACATGTTTTAGTGTTTGTGTATTTTGTGTTTTAAATAGGGATTATCATGGATTTTATCCTTTTTCACTATAATTATTTGAATCTGCCATTTTCTTTAAATACTTTAGCTTTGCATTTTCTGGTCACTTTAAAATCTATATATTTGTGGTTTTCTTTTTTACTATAATACATATGTTAAAACAAATACTAAACCCTAAGAAAAAATGGAACAAAAAAAACTCAAACATCATATATATAAAAGTAAGGTTCCACTCTCTCCTTATTGGTGGAAAAATATTTAAGGCTTTAATTTTTTTTTTTAAATAAATAAATAAATGTTTATGACAATCATTCAATACAAAATTTAATTACACTATAAGTTATAATCAAATGGCAAAGAAAATGAAAGGACTTAATCATATATCATACAACAAATTTTATAAGCCTTATTGGTGGAAAATTATTTAAAATCATATATATAAAAGTAAGGTTTCACTCTCTTTATTGTTCCATTTTGTATTTATTTTTTAAAATCTAATATTTATTTTTAACCAAAAAAACACATTTAATCATATACATTAATTCATACTTTAAATTAACACTTTACTACTAAAATGAAACTGAAAATTATATAAACTTCCAAAGACTATTGGTTTTCTTTATTGAATTCCAATTAAACACACTATAAATTATAATTATAACTCCTCTAATTTAATTATTTTAAAAATGTAACTTACATCACTTCTTATCATATAAATAGCTATTCTCACATCCTTCTCTACCATATCTCATATC